TTCTGGTTAACAATTTCCCTTACAATAACACTTCTACTTTGGCGTTCACTCTCTCCAATATCATGAACAACTCCCAATAGCCTTAATGAGAACATCACAGTAACACTGAGGGTTGAATAGAACCTTTTGGTTATTTTGTACTCACCCTCTGACAAGTGCATTATCTGATCTGTGGCAGACACACATTTTTCTATACTTCATTGTGCTAAGGTCCATGGATCTGTTACAATAGGATTTTCAATGCGGTGTTCCTCCAGGGTCAGGAATAGGCTTATCTTTTTAGGTACGGACATTCCAAATGAGGCATATTATATATCCTCCATCTTCCCCTGCACTCTATAGTGTGGAGAAGCCTTCTGACAAAAAATGGCATTGGTTAAAGACCAGATAACCAATATGTTAAATTTTGGTGAGTTTATGTATTGATGGTCATCTGACCACCTAGCAAATCTTAATACAGGGGATATAACTTCTCTGGCCTAAGGCTGTCAGTAGTCCTAAGGACTAGACTTTGATGCTTAACAGAAGAAAGAATATTTTTTCACTTTACTTCTAGGGATCAATAGTAGGACAGCTTGAAGACTACTTGTCTGAATTAGAAGCACAGAACTAGCTCTGTCTCATCTGAGAAAACTCCCAACTTCAATACTTGTCTGACGGGATATAGTAGCTATAGGCAGTATATTTTAACGGATATGAAGTATTATGAGACTTTCAGGAGTTTAATCTATAAGGGTTGTTGCCCTAAGGAAGCACTTAATGTTGAGATTCACACAAAACTTCCTTTACTTGAGCATGCTGCTAACACTTTGACCTTCTTGCATGGACACTCTTTATACACTTGCATTAAGGCCTCCTGAAGACTCTCAAGGCTATGTTTCACTTGTTTAACATAGTAATTAAACTACAGACTTTGCACCAGCCTGTAGGGTAAGTTCCAGGGCAGCTGCAGACCTCCTAAGCCAGGGGTTCTCAAAACTGGGGGTTGTAACTCTTCAGGGGGTTGCAAGGTTATTACATGGGGGGGTTGCAAGCTGTCAGCCTCCACCTCAAACCCCGCTTCACCTGCAGCATTTATAATAGTGTTAAATATATAAAAATGTGTTTTTAATTTATAAGGGGGGGTCGCATTAAGAGGCTTGCTGGGCAAAAGGGGTCATCAATACAAAAGTTTGAGAACCACTGTCCTAAGCATAGTTTCACAATACTCTGTACTCTGCCTAAAAGTCTATCCTCCACTTCTTTTGGTTTGTTTGTTTGTTGTTAATATATTTTTATTATTTGATCCCCTAACTCTGATTCAGACAGCAGGCCTTCCCCCCAAAAAAGGAAGAATTCCCTCGTGTGTGTGTGTATGTGCAGGCATGCCCAGAGGGGTCTGCACAAGTCTCTGGCCTGGTTCTTTTTGCATAGATCTGCCACACTGAACCCTGTGAAGGTGAGCAGGGAAAACACCACTAAGTTTAATTAATTACCCGTTGGGAATTTGTCTCCATAATCCTGCTTCAGATGGGAGAGAGAAACTGGGCTCAGAGACTGCTCCAAAAATAGTTCAAGTGGCTAGCAATCTCCCTGTTTTCAAAGAGGCTGGGACATGTTGTATCCTCTACCCAACATGGGCCCCTTTTGGGTCTCTCAGGAAGGTACAGGCCTGAGGTTCAAAGATGGGCTTTCACAGAAGCTCTACCCCTCTCTACCGCATCGGAAGTAGATCGGCCATATGGTTGCGTGTTTTCCCTGGAGATGGCAGCCTGGGAATCCCAGGACGCCTGTTATAGAGGTGGGGTGGCAGCTGGAAGAGGGAGATAGCCCCAAAGACATCTTGCTGCAGTCTGTGATGTTGGCAGAGTCTGTGCTGTGTCCATCTACAGCCTGCGGGGAGATAAAGGGAGGGAGGGAGGTGACTGACCTTCACAGCTGGGAGCATGGTTGCTGGTGTGGATTATTGGGATTTATGTGTAATCTACCATCTGGCACACTGCCTCTCTGAAGTCATTCCCATCGTGGAGATAGGGGTGGAGGAGCTGCTTTCCCCTGGAGCCGGCTATTCCAATCCTACCCAGTTTCTTTCCTGCCTGGGGAAGGGTGGACTGAGGTGACCGTGCCCAGTTTCGGCTGTGAGGAGGAAGCTGTGCTCTGCCCATAGAACAGCCAAGCTCCCTCAAAAAACAGTAGGTAAGAAGGTGAAGCAGACCACACAGACCTTTCCCTTTGCCTCTGACTTTTTTCAGCCTAACTCAGTCCCTGAAACCTGCAGGAGCACCAACCGCTGCAAATGCCTCCAAAGGGGAAGCACAGTTGAGGGGGCAATCTCCCCACAAGGCAAATGAAATCCTGTGACACCGCTGGGAATTAGACAGACACATTTTTCAACCAATCTGTTAGTCAGAAATTTGAAATAAAGTCTGGAATTTTCCACAGAAAAGCTTCATAGCAGGGAGGCCTGGCTGAGCCACTGGCCACTGCGGAGGCAGATAAATCCGGGGGGAATTTCAGAGAGAGGGGCATTCCCCTGCTCTCTGTGACTGACAGGTCTGTTTCTGCACCCAGGATGCAAGCAGGTTGAAGTACCCATTGTAACGGATCTTTGGACCTTGAAGAATGGATCTTCAGATGGTAAAATCTGCAGCTACTAGGGCTGAATACTTGCACTAACCTTGTTTTATATTTATCCAATAGCAGTATAGCCTCAGGCTTACACCTGCATACTCAAATTAATTATAAAGTGCCTCTTCAGACATATGTGACATTGCATCATATTTATATAATCTAACTGAAATTTATTTCCCCTTGTTTGGAATTTCTGAAGATATCTCATGAAGTCCAATTTGGAAAAAAAACTAGTTGCAAGAACTTTCCCCTCATTCTGCTTCCTGACTGCAGCATGGAATACCTGCTGAGTGCAGATCAAGGATGTCTCATCTTTGCTGATTTCTAAGAGTAGATTAAAACATATCTAATTGTCAACAATTTGAAGCTTATATAAACCTTTTTATACGTCTTCATCTTGAAATCTCAGATTGATTTACTGTGAAGTGTTTTTAGATAAATCATGCAGTAAAAGTAGCTATATACATTTGGTATGATATAAACTGAAATAGTAATGAACAATAGCTATATAATCCAATGTTGGGCAATTGGTCTCCTTATCAAAGGTGATGCTACTTTTATATAGCTTCACACACTAAGGGAGACAGCTTTCCAAATGAGTCACTGTGCAGTCAGTTATCAGAGGGGTAGCTGTATTAGTCTGTATCCATAAAAACAAGGAGGAGTCCAGTTGCACCTTAAGGACTAATAGATTTATTTGGGCATAAGCTTTCGTGGGTAAAAAACCCACTTCTTCAGATGCATGGAGTGAAAATTGCAGATACAGGCATAAATATAAACAACTCTTACTACTACCATAAGTAAAATATGTTTACATGCTACTTGTTTTACCTGTAAATTACAGTGAAATTTTGACTTGTTAACTGGCCTTTGTAAAAAGCTCAATTTGGCCTTCAGACCAACAGAAGTTGCATCCATATGTCTAAGGCAGAACAGAGCCTTCTACACTCCCCCACTATGGGTATTCCCTGCCTTTTAGACAATCAAGGTGCTAGGTTTGTTACATTTTTAAGGTAGCTGCTTACAAACCACTACTTATAAAAATAATGGATCTAGGTAAAATGCTTTGCCGTTCTCATATATATTGTGATTCAGTATTAAACATTCTTTTACCTTTAATATACTCAGTTGAAGAGTATATTTAGTAGGTGTTTTAATTCTCTCATTTCCAAAGACATTTTCTAACAAATATAATGAACTTGATTTGGACTCCCTGTGTAAATGTAGCCAGAATCGGCATGTATGTTCTATCAACAACATTATTGTGCATATATATCAGGGATCGGCAACCTTTGGCATGCGGCCCGTCAGGGTAAGCACCCTGGCGGGCCAGACCGGTTTATTTACCTGCTGCGTCCACAGGTTTGGCTGATCGCAGCTCCCACTGGCCGTGATTCGCTGTCCCAGGCCAATGGGGGCTGCAGGAAGGGCGGCCAACACATCCCTCGGCCCACGCCACTTCCTGCAGCCCCCATTGGCCTGGGACGGCAAACCGCAGCCAGTGGGAGCTGTGATCGGCCGAACCTGCGGATGCGGCAGATAAACAAACCAGCCCGGCCTGCCAGGGGCTTTCCTTGATGGGCTCCGTGCCAAAGCTGCCGATCCCTGATATATATTCTGAATATCAACAGCCTCATTCACAGCCTACCAGAGCAAATTCTTCTTTTAGAAACAGAAATAATCTGCATGAGGCTTAGGAAGTTGTGTTGCATAGTCATAATCACCAGGTCAAGAAATGTCCACTCAAACATGTGGACCACCGTCACTGACCCCTGCATCTCACCATGGAACACTCTCCTGAGACATCTATCACAGAGGACCTATGGAATGGCTTTTCTGCATTTTTTGTTTTGTTTTGTTTTTATGGAGAAGAGCCAAAAGTCATGGCAAAAGACTCAACTTAGGGCTTGTTTACACTTGAAATGCTACAGCATTTCTATGCCATTGTAGCACTTTAGTGTAGACACTGACGGGAGAGGTTCTACCATCGCAGCAGGTAATCCACCTCCCCAAGGGGCAGTAGCTAGGTCGAAGGAAGAATTCTTCAGTTGACCGAGCACTATCTACACCAGGGGTTAGGTCAGCTTAACCACATCGCTGAAGGGTGTGGATTTTTCACACCCCTGAGTGACGTAGCTGGGTTGACCTAACATTTTAGTATAGACCAAGCTTTAGTTTTCTCTCTGACAGCAGTTTCCTAATATGCACTGTGTTCACACGGGAGCCAGAAATTACTTTATTGCAAGGAGTCTGAAAACAACTAAATAGCTACATTAGGAAAAGATGCTTTTAGAATGGATTCAAGTGAAATTGGCTGACCTTCTCTCTCCATCTCATGGGTTTCCCTTCTGTAAACCATGAAAATCCTTTAGGATACCCTTTGCACTTACCCTTCTCTTTGGTACTCCTCATCCAAATTTGACAAGAGCTGGGACCCTGCCACAGAGAGATCAAGCGCAGCAAGGGGTAAATCTCGATAAGTGAAGTTAACAAGTTGTACAGGAGCTAAGCTTTTGGTCTCCTCTTCTACTTGTTGTGAAATGATCTCAACTTCTGAAACTCCACCTTCTATTGTAGGCCTAAAATGATGAATAAGCAAACGGAAAAAAATATACGCAGTAAGGAATGGGAAACTTCCACAAGTAGCAGGACTAAAATTTCCCATAATGAAGGAAAAAGGCTTGATTACTGGTATTTATGTGTCATTTTTGATAATACATGTGGAGAAATGTTTTATGGGGCCAAAATCTATCCTCATCTGTGAAAGGTCGCTCCCACTGAGGTTAATAACATCCTCACATGCACACAAGGGCAAAATTGGATTCAGACTGCAGAGCTGAAGCCTTTTCATGCACATAAAATATAAACATAAATATTCAACAAATACACAAAGAAACAACTATGAACTATGTAGCAAAGTATATTTGCAAAGTAGAAAAGAGAGTCAATGAAACGAAGGCATGTAGTTACATGAACTAACCCCCCTCCTTGTAGTGAGATCAGTGAACAATGATCAAGCACTTTACTGACCAGTGTACAAATCACTCTAAGGCAGTGATTCTCAAACTTATTTGATTGGGCTCCCCTTCTTGGTGTCTGTAGTTGCTTACGCCCCCTTCCCAAGTATATATACCAACACCCAGTTCTGAAGGCAGAGCAGAGAGCAGCATCTGCCGGCAGGGCACCCAGCAGCAGCAGCACAGAAGTAAGGGTGGTAATGAGAAAAGTAATATTCATCAATATCACTTTTCACAACAGACTTAGTGCCCCATTGCTACCCTTACTTCTGCGCTGCTGCTGCACTTCTGGGGCTGACAGCCAGAGCCCCGCTTGCATTGAGACGAGGGATTGAGGCGTTGGTGGGGGAAATGGGGAAGGAAACCCCAAGCCAGGGCTGCCTCCTGCTGAGGGATTGAAGGGGTGGAGGGAGGAGAGCCTAAGTGGTGGTGCTCCAGCTGTTAGCCCTGGGGGACAGGCTCTGGCTGTCCCATTTATCTCCGCCTCCTGGGTGTGCATGGCCTTTCTGCATGAGCCAGAGCCAGCCAGGGCTGACAGCCAGAGCTCTTTTTTTTTTAAAAAAAGAAGCACATTCCCTTGACACATTCCTGTGCTTCCATTGGGAGGCCTTCCCCATGGTTTGAGAACCACTGCTCTAAGGTAATACATTCTATTGCCCTTCATTGACCTCTGGTCAATATTTAGAAAAGTTCTGAATGCTGCCACATCTTGCCCTACTCAACCAGAGAAAGGGTTGCTAATGCTCTAGGATTTCTGAGGAGAGTTATTGAGTAAGAAGAGGAATAAAATTATAGGAGGATCCCAGATAAATTCTTCCCATCCATATATGTGTAGAACATAATTTTAAAACTGGTCATGCATTCTCTATCCTTCTTAATGTTAATGGGAACTCCATGCACGCATACAAGGGTAAAACCAAGGGATAGCTCAGTGGTTTGAGCATTGGCCTGCTAAACCCAGGGTTATGAGTTCAATCCTTGAGGGGGCCATTTAGGGATCTGGGACATGGGGTTGGACTAGATGACCTCCTGAGGTCCCTTCCAAACCTGATATTCTATGATTCTATGTATGTGTGTCTATATGACTTACAATAAGATACCACTTACTTAGAGAAAAAATAAGTTATTACCCAGTACTTAATATATAGTATATGTGATGGACAACTCTGTTAGTGTAGAGGGTTTGCCTATCAAGTCCCAGCAGGTATAGATTCTTTGCGGACTCCAATGAATGTCTCCCTTTCCATTTGACTCACATTGTGTCGTAAACATAAACCTCTTTAGCTTTAATCTGGGAGAGCTTGTTAACTTCTGAAGAAATGCCAGGCTATTTCATTCAAGTTTTTGACAGATAGAAAAATACTTTCCCAACCATCGCACCTTTCTTAGGGATACAGTTAAAAAGTGCCTTACATGCAACTTTCCTTTCTTATTTGACTGCAAAAGTTGCATTGATTTTTTTTTTAAAAGAGCTTATTATAATCCTCCAGTTATTCAACCAACCTGAATAAGACTTCATCTTTCTCACAAAACCTGAATAATTTAGAAGAGCTCTTGCCTAAATCGTGTGTCTTGTAAGAGTTTGGAGCCAGGAACATAAGACGTGGATGAAGAAGGATAAAAGTCTAAGTTGAAGAGGTGGGAAAAGGCAGTATTGCTCAGAGTCTAAGCATTAGAATTACAATGGAGTAGAACCACTGCACGGATTACCTGGGAAGGTCACTTTAACAATGTGAAGACACTATTATGACTGAAGTAAAAGGCTTGCAATGACCTATATTGTTTCACACAATCATAGAAATTAGTGCAAAAGATCCTTTGGGTCATCTAGCCAGTGTCCCTTTATTTAGTTCTTTGTCCAATCTAATTTTACATGTCTCAAGGAATGAGACTTTTACCACTTCCACTGAAAATAATTTCACTGTCTAAAAAGATCTAATTAGCAGGAGATTTTTTTCTGATATTTGGCCAGACTTTTCTCTTGTCTGATTTAATGCTTTTATACCACATATTAGCTATTTTGGAAGTGGACCACAGTGTGACTACCGGTATTATAGAACAAACTGAAAAGTGTTAGAGAAGCCCTTTCAGCTTCCAACTGTTTTTTTTTTTTAACCTTTTGGACTCTTAAGTAGATTAAATGAGAGATAGATAATGAAGTGACAGTGAAAAAGCAAATGAAACAGTGTTGACAAATAGTCTTAACACAGGCTTGTTGGCGGGACAACAAAAATTTAGATAGACCCGAAAATAATTTTATATATTAGTTCTTGGTAATTCACTATTAACAATACTTCAGAAAAGTTTACAATATTCATTTTGTTGTTGTTGCACTAATTCCGGGTTTGCAGACAACTGAGCAAATCCTGCATCTCTTACCCCAAACTTAAAATTCTCCTCCCAGGAATACTGAGGCAACCTCCTTGGGATCAGGAGAATTTGGCACAGAGGATTTTACATGAATGGGATTTGACTCATTGAATGGAAAAGCATTTGTAACTTTCTCATATCGTACTTACTGGGGATTGGTCATGTTGAAAGATGCAAATAAATCAGCAGTTGTTCCAGTATTTAACTAACTTCAGCTCCTCTGCAGAGAATTTTCAGCATTTCAAGGCAAGGTTTCTACAAGAGGTAAAATGTATTATCTAGAACTCAGTTGCAGTTAGTGTAACATTCATTTTCATATAATGTAGTTTGTACAGCAGTTTTATTTCCCACAAAAGCCACCCACCCACCCCTTTTTTTGGTGATGCTTCTATTCTGGGTTAAGACTGCCTCATCATAGAACTTTGAAAATGTATTGTAGCTTTCCAGCCCCCCGCGCAATACACCCTTACGTTTAAATAACATTACAGGCTTGGCTTTAAACAATCAGAAAATTTACAGTGATGGGCAAGGTCTTAGGGGCAGATTTTCAAAAGAGGCGAAGAGGTTTAGGAGCACAAGTCCTCAAAAAGTCCACGGAGCTTATTCTCTACATACTGTACAGACCTGTACATATGAGAGTGTTAGTTAAGGTGAAAGGATTTAGGAGCACAAGTCTGAATGACTTCTGTGGGACTTGTGCTGCTAAATCCCTTAGCATCTTTAGGAAACCTCTCCTTGGTTCTCATGTATAATGATTGGTCTAGTATCTAGAGAATGTTTTTACCTATCAAGCCCATAAACCTGTTTGGCATAACAGGCAATCTTTGCCCAAAGCCAAACATATGCCTGTGCATTTGTGCTGTATCACAGGACTGAGGTGCAACACCAAAACTGTAGTGGACAAGCTTGCTAGAATGAAGCCATTGGCAGCAGCTGATGTGCCTTGCTGTCACAAGCACCAATATTCAACCCTAAATTGTAAAAAACAATGTAAAAGTCCAAAATATAAATCTAAACAAAACAAGCCACTGCCCTTTTAAATTAAGTATTTGGGAAACTGTAGTGATAAAAAATAAAAATGAATCTGAGTGATATAATGAGAGACTTTTAAAAGCTATTTCCAGGGTTATACAGTGCATGTAATTAGCAACAATGAAGTTAAGGAGACTGTTGGTGAAAGACAAAAATGTACTCTTATTAATTAGGAGTATATTAAAATGAGTGCCACACAAATGTATGAAGTTAGGGTATAGCTGACATTCACATTGAAAAACTGCCATTATTTTACTAAAATGTCTCCTAAGTTTTAAACATTACTTAAGTCAATTACAAATTGCATCATTCAAATCATTTAGGTATCCTATACTTCTTTTTGCAAAAATTCATAAAATAAGCTAAAAATTTATAGGATATGATAAAGATGTTTAATATATTGACAGTATTAACCTCAGCAATCCCTTAATAGCAAATAATTAACCTAAAATTGCTAGTATAACTACTAGAAGTACTACTATAATTACTAGTATAGCAATTTCCAAAGCATTATTTCATATACTGTATGCCTGTAACACAATAAAAGCCAATTAATTTATTCTTAGAGTGCCTATATGCTTGAGTATTCAAAAGGCTAGGGTCTAAATCTTAATCACTTTACGCATGCAGGTAGACCAACTGAAATTAATGAAAATATTCATCTGAATAGAGCAAGCATGATCTGGCCTTAAAATAATAAATAATTTATAGACTAACATATATACCATACTGATCTAAGAAACTTGCAATTAAAAATCTGATTAAAAACAGAATTTGCATATGTATTTAGATAAACTCATTCTGATGCACTGCAGGCTGATCCAACGCTCATTTGAAGTCAATGGGAGTCTTTCCATTGGCTTAGGACCTAGTTATAAGTTTGTTCATTATGCTCCTAAAGCAGCAAAGCATTTACTTACTTTCCATTGACTTTAATGAGACTTAAGCACATGCTTAAGTGATTTGCTGAACTGGGGCCTATAGCAGGCTAAAGGTACAGACTATTGTAGATAAGGCTACAAAACACTTCCCAGGATGAGCTTTGTATTGAGAAGCTCATAGCTCCCTAAAGCGTCTACCTTCCGGGCTGAAATTTTCTAATGTGGTATATTTTTAAAGGAAAGTTTGATCAAAGTCCCATCAACTGTTTTTGAGTAAAGATAAGAAGAATCGTAAGAGGACAGTATGGCTCCATCACGAGCTCTCTAATGACCTGAAAATCAAAAAGGAATCCTACAAAAAGTAGAAACAAGGACAGACTGCTAAGGAGGAGTACAAAGAATAGCCCAAACATGTAGGTACAAAATCAGAAAGTCCAAGGCACAAAATGAATTATACATAGTGTGACACTGGCAGACCAGGTGCCAGCTCATGCCAGAGCCCCACGCCAAGTCACTTGTGTATTAGTATAGATCAAAGTGATTGTTAAATGTATAAGAATGTATTTGGTGTTTAAACTTCATGAAAACTAGTGGAATGTTACTTGCATTGTTGTATCTCGTTATATGTAGTAGTAAACATTTTCATTGTGTATATCCCTGTAACTAAATAACCCATCAAATGGGAAAGAAGCCTTGTGGAATGCAAATGAAGAACTTTAACAGAAAAGTGCTAATTTCAAAGCAAGTGGTCATTGTGTGTGCTGACTGGAAGTCAAAGACTCATAATGTATTCCTCACTCTCCATCATCAAAGGAAAAATCCACATGGGTAGTGACCCTGTCAGCTTGTTTTCTGTGAGAAGATGATGTAAGTATGGATTTAAGGAAAGATCCTGGATCTCTGGATTGTTTGGACTCTTAAAAGAAAGTGTACCAGATGCAAAACGGAGATTCCCAGAGACAATCTGGGTACCCTGAAATGACTTTTGGGAAACTGGCAGCTTATTACATCATTGTCACCATTTGGAATTACAAACTGAGACTTACATGTGTATATATTTTACCTGCTTTAACCTCTCAATAACTCTCATTTCCTTTTCTTAGTTAATAAGCCTTTAGTTAGTTTACTATAGAATTGGCTCCCAGTGTTGTCTTTGGTGTAAGATCTAGAGCAGAGGTTCTCAAACTGTGGTCTGCGGACCACTCCATTCAGGTGGTCCGTGAATAGTTCCCTCTAAGGTGCATGCCTGGGCGGCCGCACACAAGAGAATGAAGGGCCACCCACCTAATTAGTGGAGCCATGTAGGCAGTGTGGTAAGAAGAGGGGGTGTGGGGAATTTGGGATGTGCAGGGATGTGGCGGCCAGAGAAAGAGGCAACTTTCCCCAGCTCCAGCGCTGCGGCTGATGGAGAGAGACAGCCCTCCTTCCCAGCCTCAGCTCTGTGGCTGCTGTGGCGAGGGAGAGACACTCCCCGCTTCCCAGCCCCAGCTCGGGGGCTGCCGCGGTGGGGGAGAAAGGGCACATCCATCACATTAGAAAGGTAAGACTACGTATATTAAAATATGAGTTGTGTGCTTTTATTTGTAGAACAAAAAATATTAATTATTAAGGTTTTTTTATATAGTGCTTTTATCCAAAGTGCTTTACGATAGTTAGCTAACGGTACAAACAACATTTGGAAAGATCATTAAGTGGTCTGCTGAGACCCTTGGCAATTTTTAAGTGGTCCACGAAAAAAAAGTTTGAGAACCACTGATCTAGAGTACCAATTGATCTGGGGTAAGTGACTGGTGTCTTGGGACTGGAAGCAATCTAAATGTGATGTGATTTTTGGTGTAAGTAACCATTTTATCATAGAATCATAGGATGGGAAGGGACCTCGAGAGATCATCTAGTCGAGTCCCCTGCTCTCTAGTATTAACTAGATCATTCCTGACAGGTGTTTGTCTAACCTGCTCTTAAAAATCTCCAATGATCGAGATTCCACAACCTCCCAGGGCAATTTATTACAATTTATCACAAAGTCCAGATTGTCTGGGTGGCAAGATAGACTGGAAAGTCTAAGTGGACTGTCTGTGACTCCACGTTAAGACTGGTATAGTGATCCAGGAGTTCACCTTTGTCACTGGCTTGGTGAAATCTAATTATAGAACATACCATGAGTTTGGGGTGTCTGCCCTGTTTTCGGACAGTCTGCCCTGAGGTAGGCATTCAGAGTTGTGAGCTACTCCAGATAGCGTGACACCAAGCAAGGGACATAAAAGTCATTAAGAAGAGGTTCTTTAAATACAAAAGGAGCAAGAGAATGACTAAGGAAAGTTTAGGTACTGTATTTAGTGGGGAAGGAGAGCTAATAATGGATGACATCAAGAAAGCTGAGGTATTTAATGGGTATTTAATGTCCATTTTGCTTCAATATTCGCTAAAAAAGTTAATGGTGACCAGACACTCAGCAAAATTAGTATTAACAAGAGGGAAGGAATATAAGTCAACATAGGGAAAGAGCAGGTTAAAGAACATTAGATAAATTAGATGTATTCAGTCAGCAGGAGTTGATAAAAGTAATCCTATAGTACTTAAACTAGCTGAAGCAATCTCAGAACCATTAGGAATTATCTTTGAGAACTCCTGGAGGATGGGTGAGGTTCCAGAAGACTGGAGAGGGGCAAACATAGCACCTATCTTTAAAATGGTGAAAAAAAAGAGGACTCAGGGAATTATGGACTAATCAGCCTAATTTTGATACCTGGAAAGATACTGGAACAAATTATTAAGTCATCAATTTATAGGCATCTAGATGATCTAGAGTATAATAGGGTTACAAGGAATAGCCGGTATGGATTTGTCAAGAACAATCATGCCAAACCAACCTAATTTCCTTCTTTGACAGGGCTACTGGCCTAGTGAATAGGGGGAAAGCAGTAGATGTGATACATCTCGATTTTAGTAAGGCTTTTGACACAGTCCCACACAACATTCTCATAAGCAAACTAGGGAAATGTGATCTAGATGAAATTAATATAAAGTGGGTACAAAACTGGTTCAAAGACTATACTTAGAGAGTGGTTATCAATAGTTTGCTGTCAAACTGGGAGGATGTATCTAGTGGGGTCCCACATTCATTAAGCTGAAATCATTAAAATACTAGCCTGCACCTACTGAGAAAAGATCTGGAGCCAATACACAGGCTTCAATTTGATGTAAAGCATGGTTTTATCATCCAGCCTTCCCAATCTTATATATAGTTGGAGAAGTCAGATTTGTCATGTATTGACTCCCTGGCATCATAGGTTCAAATCTCAGCAGGGTTGACTTAGCCCTTCATTCTTCTTGCACAGATGA